CGAAAGCCTCAAGGGCCTCCCCGAACTTGTAGCGATGCGTGATCAACTTCTTTGGAAGAACCTTTCCACTGGCAACGAGATTCACAGCCTCGGGGTAACATCCTGTTTGATATCGGATCGACCCCTTGATGGTCAAAGCTCGGATACAAGCTGTCGTGATGGGAAATACGATATTCTAGTTTTATGTCAGTAAAGGGTGTTACAATGTTCGGTGGTGAAGTGTGCAAGAACGAACCTCTTTTCCCATGCCAGCTTGAACAAATGTTCCGCCTTTCTTCGCGGCGAACACACCAGCCTGGATACACTGCTCGGCACCCGTACACTCCAGAACAACATCAGCCCCCTCCCCAAGGCCATAATCTCGCACAATCTTCTCCCCGATAGCGCGAGCAGCGTCAACGGGGTCTTCCGGAGCGTCAGGCAGCTTCTTCGAGACGTAGACATCATCGGCAGCGAATTCTCTCGCAAATTGAGCTCGAGACTCGGACACGTCAACGCCGATGACCTTTGCTGCCCCATACGCCTTGGCAACAGCCTGACACAAAACACCAATGGGCCCGCAGCCAAATACAAGAACCGTCTGGCCACCCTTTAGTTCCGCCACTTTGCAAATCTGGACGGCAACTGCAACTGGCTCTACTAAAGCACCGTCTTCGGAAGACATGTGCTCCGGAATCGGGTAAGTGTAATCACTGGCGACAATATAGTACTTCTGCAGCGTGCCATCCCAGGGAGGCGTTGCAGCGAAGATTGTGTCTGCGCATAGGTTGTATGAACCTGAGCGGCAGTAATCGCAGCTATGTAAATCGTTAGAAGCCGTTGCTTGCCTGTGTTGATGGTTGGGGAGAAGCTCACTGCCGACACGGAACGCCTGGCTCTATCGCTACACGGTCGCCAACTTTGACATTCTTGACCTTGCTTCCGACCTCGACAATGGTCCCTGAGCTTTCATGCCCCAGAACAATGGGCGACTCTAGGATGAAGTCACCGATCCGGCCTCGCTGCCAGTAGTGGACATCGCTGCCGCAGATGCCTGTTTGCTCGATGTGAACTCGAACGTCGTATTCATCGCGAAGTGCTGGAACTTGACGGTTCTCGAATGAGACGTTCTTGACAGAATGAAGCACAAAAGCAGGGTTCTGAGCAGGGAATCAGCGAGATCAAGGGAGCAGGGGCAGTTGATAGGTACATACAATTTCGGACATTCTGGATTGATACCTTACAAGGGTTAGATGCGTAAGACTGAGACAACCTTCAAGATCTGGAACTTTTCAATCACCTTTTAGTGTTCAGTCTGGCAATCACCTTAATGTGTGCGGAGGGGAAGCATGGGCCATGGCCGTGACGTCGAGGACGGGGTGGGACCGCCGTGCGGGGCCGGACAGTGAATCGAATTCGGGCGACAGCAGTCCGATCAGCATCGAGCGCCGGACTAGAGTCAACAATTCCAGAAGCATTCTGCCTACTTCAAAAAATCCTTTTACTGAGGGTTAAAACAATCTCTGGAATCTACTAATAGAACACATTCTTTCCTAGGGTCGTTGTGTCCGGGAAGTCAACTTCCCCCTGACTTTGCAATATCTAGAGACTGTCGTATTACCTACGCGAGTATGGAGTCTACATATCATACCCTGGCCCAGCGTATCATTTTAAAATGGGCTGAGAAGAGGCGCACATCATCCGACACCTCCAATGTACATCCCCGCCTCATTATCGCCCTCGCAGGGCCACCGGGCTCCGGAAAGACAACCATCGCCCAGAAAGTTGTCTCCGCCATCAACGCCTCCCCGGAACTCCGCCCAAAGTCTATTGTTCTATCTGCGGACGGCTTTCACCTACCCCTCGCAGCTCTCCGGGCGCTTCCTAATGCGGCGGAAGCAATCGCCCGGCGCGGGGCCCCCTGGACCTTTGACGGTCAAGCCGTCGTCGACCTCGTCCGGCAGCTGCGGGCTTCAGCAGGACTGCAACCCGTTCTTGCACCAACCTTTGACCACAAAGTAAAAGATCCCGTTTCTGATGGGTTCACTGTAGAGTCAGATGTTCAGGTTTGCATTGTTGAGGGGAATTATTTGCTCGTGGATGACGAGCCCTGGAACCAGATCGCAGATTTGGTAGATGAACGGTGGCTCGTTAGAGTTGAACCTACACTGGCACGAAGACGAGTTGCCGCGCGACATCTCGCAGCTGGTATTGAAGAAACAATGGAAAGAGCTCTCTTCCGGGCAGAGAGTAATGACATGGTCAATGGAGAGTTCGTTGACAGGCACAGTGAGGGTAGCTACGACGTGTTGATCGATAGCATAGAAGAGTTACCCAATTGAGGAGCATCTAAGATCGACCTCTCGCGGATGACAATCCGGACTAGCCTACTAGAGCTGAGGGTGACAGAGATCCGGCTTTTGCTTCTACCCGGACCCGGGGGACCTTGGCGAAAGCGACACTAACTTTTCTGAGCCTGCAGAGTAATCACCTCTTGGAAACCAAAACGGACTGGATGAGAAGGTTGTGATTGGAACCAGGTATTTGAATGTCTCTCGTGAACAGCTTGGGCTGAAGAATTTCTGTCGCCAAAGGTACCAGAAGTTCCAGTCATCCTATCTTCCGACCAACCTCCTACTCTATTCGATCTGTCGGCTCGTTAGTCAAGCAACATGGCAACAAATGGTTCCACAAATGGGGCGAGAAAGTCCATCAGAGCCTCCAATCCGCCCATCGAGGATAGTGTCTTCAAACAGTTCCGCCTTGATGGAAGAACGGTCATAATCACTGGTGGAGCAGGCGGAATAGGATCAGAGATCGCCAGGAGCCTCGCTGAAGCCGGTGCCAACGTATTCTGAATCTCATCCCCAGTTCAGTACATATGTGGCTGATACAGATACCATCTACAGATCGCCATATGGTACAACAGCTCTAAAGCTGCCGTTACCATTGCCGCAACCATCGCGGAAGATTTTGGAGTCAAGACAAAGGCTTATCAAGTTGATGTCACCAGTTACCCTGCCGTCGAAGCAGCGGTGGCGGAAGCAGTTAAGGACTTCGGTCGTCTGGATGTCATGATCGCCAACGCCGGAATCCCGTCCAAGGCTGGGGGTCTTGACGACAAGGTCGAGGACTGGGACCGCGTGCGTGCAGTCGACTTCGACGGCGCGTACTACTGCATGAGGGCGGCTGGTCTCGTGTTTCGTGAGCAGAAGAGGGGCGTGGGCATCATCACTGCGTCTATGAGTGGTCACGCTGCGAACGTACCGCAAGAGCAGAGCTGCTACAATGCCTGCAAGGCAGGAACCGTACGTTTGTACCATCTTCTTTGAAACACCTGATGAAGGCATTTTGGCTGATACTCAGGACTTGTAGATACACCTAGCGCGGTCTTTGGCTGTCGAGTGGGCCAAGTGGGGAGGACGCATCAATTCGGTGTCTCCTGGTTACATCGATACCGTCATCTCGGGTGATTGTCCGTTCGAGATGAAGGAGGAGTGGTTCAGCTTGACACCACTGCGCAGAGATGCTGATCCGAGGGAGCTGAAAGGCGTTTACCTGTACCTAGCGAGTGACGCTAGTTCCTATACAACTGGGGCTGACTTCATCGTGGATGGTGGTTACACGGCACGGTGATCCAGAATAGCTTGATACATCGAAGTCTGTTCAATTTCAACTTCAACCGTTGCACCTATAATAGGTTCCTGTCATTGAAATTTTGAACTCGCAACGTATACACTCATGCAATGAAAAAGTGATTCTGCTTGAATTACTTTTGAACTTTGTGGTAAGGTAGTATCTGCAATCTCACACCACAACCAGTCTGAAAAATATCGAAACAGAGAGGCTTATTGATCAAATACTAGATCATTGCAATGTAAATTAACAGACCTTGGAGGGAGTAATACCAAGTCATATCTCAATCTGACTTTACTTTTCTCATTTTTGCCTACTAGTAATTCTGAAATAAAGCAAAATTAAAGAAAAAGCTACAAGTAGAGACGGATTCACTGACACCATCTCTTACATGTTTCGTCTTGCGCGTCATAGGTTTATGCCAAGTCAATAGTACTAGTGATTTTTTCACAGTAAAAAGATTGTCTTTTTGATCTTGGACTTGGTTACATCTTCTCCATCTAGCTTTATCAGCCATAATGTTCTCACACTCTTGACTTCGGCATCAAATACTTTTCGGTGGCGCTTGGTTGACGCAATATTTCAATTCCACAGCCAAACTAGATATCACCTTGAGAACATGGCGGCGTCGATACATCCGAGACTATCAAGCCGAAATCCGACCAACCGATCCTTGATGTTTCCCGAAGCCTACTATCTTTGAAGCTGCAAACATCTTGCGACCCGGTTGAACCTCGTCGTCGCCCCATGATCGAAAGATCCCGGCTGGCGGCCCCCATCCACCCTCGCCTAAATTCCTGACCTACGACGGCTGCGCGTTATTACCGGACAAAGCTACCCGAACCTGTACTTGGCAGCAGTGCAACAACTCACCAATAGCGACTGTCACTCCTCATCGACTAACTCCTTGACATCCTGCTAGTGCAGGGTGACAGTCGTCCGTCGTCCCCGCACTTTACCAACAGCACGTCGAACTTCCTCGCAATACCACGCAGAAACATGACTCGCGTAATAGGACGTATGCCGATGCAGCACAGCTTGAGTGATGCTACAGTCGATTACCCCATGGGCGAATCCCCCCGTATTTTCAACGACCCATTTACCACGTTATGTGGGGTAAACGAGCATGCGGAGGATTGCCGGACGCGGTATTCCCAGGTTCCGGCTGCTTGGGACTATCTTGTTTGCGTACGAAATGTTCCGCGACGAGTTGATCACCAGCCCCCCATGGACTTTCTTCGTTCAGGTGCATGTATAAAGCTCTTGCGGGCCCCGTCGCGAACTATCATCAACTTGTTGTTACCCTGCCTTGTCTTGTCCATACATCGTCTGTCACATCTCCGTGTTAGTCAATGTTGCCAAAGCGACCTCGGAAATAAGCCACCATGAAGGACGAGCAGATTGTCGGCGCCGCCTTGGCTGAAGTTCTTCCCAAGACAGACAGATACTGGTTTCAACAGCCGCATTTGCTCAGGTTGAATTTGCTACTTCTAATCCCTCTGCTGTCCTCTTCAGTTGCAGGTTACGATGGTAAGTGCAACAAAATTCTCAATCCCTCCCCTCGGTGTACTCAACAGCTACTAATATCACATCTTCACGTTACATGTAGGCTCTTTGATGAACGGCCTCCAGTCCCTCCAACAATGGCGAGAATACTTTGGACATCCGGCCGGCGTAAGGCTGGGAGTTGTGAACGCAGCACAATCTATCGGATCCGTCCTAGCTCTACCTATCGTGGGATACCTGGCAGATCGCTTTGGCAGGAAGCCAGTTCTCTTGTCTGGCATCATCCTCATCATTGTCGCCACAATAATTCAGTCCACCTCGATCAATCTACCGATGTTCATCATCTCACGGCTGATTGTTGGCTTCGGCGGCATGTTTGTCGTTCATCCGAGTCCCATGCTCATTGCTGAATTAGCTTGTAAGTACCCGGGAGTAAGATGGAAAGCTTTGCACTGACGGATGACGAAAAGACCCGACACATCGTGGGAAATACACCTCAGCTTATTGGACTATGTATTATCTTGGTACGTCAAGCCCCCAGGTTAGATGACTCCCGGCAACTGATCCAAAACTTAACAGGTGCGATCTTGGCCTCTTGGACAACTTTTGGCTGCCAAGACTATCAAAGCGAGTGGGCATGGCGGGTGCCTTCTGTCCTTCAAGCCGGCTTCCCACTGGTGCAGCTATGCTTCTATGCCTGGGTCCCAGAGTCGCCCAGATGGCTGGTAGCACGAGAAAGAACTACAGAGGCAGCTGCAATTCTCGCAAAGTATCATTCAGGGATCCATGTCACATCCGAAGGCCACACTCCTCTTGTCAGCCGTGAAGTGGCCGAAATTGTCCAGACAATCCAGCAAGAAAAGTCTGCAGAGACGACGGGCTGGATGGCATTGGTGTCTACGCCTGGCAATCGCAAGAGAACGCTGATTGCGGTTTGTGTGGGAGCTTTCGCCCAGTAAGTGCCTTTCCATAGACTGTTTAACAGATGAATTTGCTGATGTGTTGCTCTACAGGTGGAATGGCATAGGAGTAGTCTCGTACTATCTCACGCTGGTTCTCAATACCGTCGGCATCACGGACACCTTCACACAAACTTTGATCAACGGTCTCCTGCAAATCTTCAACTTTGCTGCCGCTCTGAGCGCCGCCTTCCTAGTTGATCGTCTCGGCCGCCGGACTCTATTCCTTTGGTCAGGGGCGGGCATGCTGTTGAGCTACATTGTCTGGACAGCCTGCTCAGCCGTCAACACGGATACCGGGTCCAAATCCGCTGGAATTGTTGTTGTCGTCTGCCTCTTCACCTTTTACTTCCACTACGACATTGCTTACACCCCACTACTGCTGGGATATCCAACCGAGATTTTTCCCTACTCTCTGCGTTCCAAAGGCATCGCGGTTGAGCTATTTGCAATCTACGGGTCACTGATCATCGCGGCATTCGTCAATCCCATCGGTCTAGAGAATATTGGGTGGCGTTATTACATTGTCTTCTGTTGCTTTTTGGTAGTATTCTTTGTCGTTACGTGGGTCTTGTTCCCGGAGACCAAGGGGTACAGCTTGGAAGAGATTGCTGTGATTTTCGACGGACCTCAGGCTGTGGAAAACTTTGAGGATGCTTCAGAGTCGAAGGAAGAGAAAATACTTGCTAAAGGCGGAACTCACGATATCGTACATAAGGAGGAGGCATAGTCTGATTTCATCTTTCATGTATATGCGTCTTTAGGGCGCGGATAGCTCTAGGGAATAATCTAGCGAGAGATACCGCAACATTATGAGGTAAATCTAATTTCAAGAGTGAATATTTCGATACTCATTGGATCAAGGCAAAGAGACATCTGCCAATTTGACTGGAGATTCCATCCATCAGATAGATCTCAAAACTATACTACAATCACGCCAGTGAGCTGTTATCAACGTTGCTTGTTTGCTCCGGCCTCGGGGAGGGATTTGGTCCCCTCCACAATTGAGGTCTACTTTAGCCCCTTGTGTCGACTGAGTGCAGACGAGACGCATAAACCACACGTAGTTCTCTCAGCCATTCTCAAGAGCCGACTAACACCGGACGGAGCTCGGCCGTGCAAGGGTTCCATCCCCCCTGATCGCGATCAGATGGTGTTGTGGATCACCACAGCGCAAGCGTGCGGAGAAAAAAGGGCGGGGTTTCACTTAGAGTTCGTTGCGGTTGGAGGCCAACCTCACCTCACCCCATGTGCGCCAGACCAACACTTTATCGATTCTTCGCCTGTTCCTGCATGTCATGCCATGACGTCTTCAGATACGGACTACACTCGCCCTAAGTCTTCTCAGCCGGCCCCTGTTGCATTGTCAAGGACGGTTACCGCTCCCCGGCTCGAATCGCGATCTGAATGCAGAGACGGCTTTGATGCTTTACTAAGCACTCCAGAAAGCCCGTGGAAAGAGTCGTGACCAGCTTCAAGCCTGACAGAAGATGACGTCCTCAGGTGCGACGGGTGACAATGAGCCGGCACATCCTCCGCCGAGCAGCCTGGACTCCCTCAGCATGGCCTTCCCGTCGGCTGATCAAGCATGCAAGGAGTGCCGGAGGCGGAAAGCCAAGTGCAACCGGGCGATTCCGACGTGCAACTTGTGCGTAAAGTACCGCCGGCACTGCTTGTATGAGAAACACGCCCGCACACCGTTGACAAGGAAGTATGTAGAGACCATTCGTCGCCCTTTGTGCATAATTGTCGAGCGCATATGGGACTTTTACGCTGACATTACGTGCCTACTTATGCAGACACCTTACGGAAGTAGAAGAGAGGTTGGAGCGGGCCGAAGCTATCATAACACAGATGAGAGCGTTGATGCCGGCTCAGCTAAGATCGGGATCCGTGCTACCTAGCCCGAGGAACCTGGAAACGCCGGCGCTGAGAAGTGATGATGAGACTTTTGACTTCTCAAAGCTGGACACACCGGCGCCGTCGAATCCGGCTCCCCTTCCAGCTTCCCTTCCCGTCCTCACAGCCAACGGGCCCGACGCACTCCCGCAATGCGAAGCTGCCCATCCTGAGCCGTCACAGCCATTCCAACCATCACAAATACCACAGAATCATGTCTCGTCCTCAGTCCCACCGTCCTCCAACATGAGATTCGAACCCCCACGGGCCTCGAGAACTGCTCAATATAAACCTCACACTGACACATCGCACAGAGACCTCAACCTCCTCGAGGCTCACCCCACAGACGACTTCGAATGGGACGAGCAAGAGACCCTGACAAACTACTCGGCGTCTCCCGAGGCCATCTTAGAAGCCGACTTGAACGGCGAAGTAATCGCAGATCCTATCGCAGACGGCATGGCCTCGCTCGCCGTCAGCGAAAGGGAATCAGGCTACCTCGGCGTCGCCTCCGGCGCAGCCCTCCTCCGTCTCCTAGAACCATCAACACCAAGACGAAGAACCCAATCCTCCTCCTCAAGACCAGGCATAGGTGTAGGACCCCAGCAGCAGCAGCAGCAGCAGCACATCATCAACCACTTACAAAACCCACTCATCGCGCAGCAGCCAGACCCCAACAGACACATCACAGACGCAATGATAGACGCCTACTTCCGCCTCTACCACGTGAGCTACCCCATCATCCACGAAGCCACCTTCAGAGCGCAGTACGCCGGCGTCATCCCCCGCCCCAGCGGCGACTGCTGGCTCGTCCTGGCCTACACCGTCGCCGCCATCGGCGTCTACACCACGGCCGCGAACCTCGACAACCTCGACACCTCGCTCTTCGCGCAGGCCCGCTCGATCCTGTCCTTCAACTTCCTCGAGGTGGGCAACCTGACGCTCGTCCAGGCGCTCACCCTCATCTCCAACTACCAGCAGAAGCGGGACAAGCCTAACTCCGGGTACAACTACCTCGGCCTGGCCGTGCGCATGGCCATGGGGCTCGGTCTGCACAAGGAGTTCCAGGGGTGGAATATCTCGCCTTTGAATATGGAGATTCGACGGCGGGTGTGGTGGTCGTTGTGTGTGTTCGATGTCGGGGCGACCATCACTTTCAGCAGGCCGTCCGTCTGGCCGTACGAAGGCGTCGAGGTCTCGTTGCCATTGAACGTCGACGACAAGGTCGCTTTCCCTACTGACTTGGATCTGTATGGGCTGTAGCTAACATCCCTTGTAGTCATTAACCGCCATCTCTAAGTCATACCCTCCAGAAACAGACGGCATAACCCCCTACACAGCCGTCCGAACCCAAGCAAGCTTCCATATCGCCACAACACCAATTTACACCAGGGTGATCTCAAAGCCCCTTCCCTCCCCAGACGAGATGCTACGACTAGACGAAGACCTCCTTGATCCATGGCTAGCAAGCGTTCCGTCCTACTTCTCCTCCACAAGCCGCGTGCCGCCAAAGTACGCTCTCGCCCATGCCGTCATGAACTGGCGGTACAGAAACCTCCGAATCATCATGTACCGCCCCTTCGTCATCCGTCGGGCCCTACGAGCCCGCGATAGACGACCAGATGACTCGCCGGATAACGTCCGCGCTTTCGAAAAGTGTTTGGCAGAGGCCAAGGCAACCATCACCAGCATCAGCGAGTTCTGGCAACGGAACGAGCACAACCGTCTCGGTGCCTGGTATGCCCTGTAAGTAACGACATCCACATCGATCCCCTCCCCCCCTTCTAGACCTTCTCAACTTACTCGCTGTCTGCAACCTCTAGATACTTCCTGTTCCAGGCAGCCCTTATACCCTGTATTTGCCTCCGCAATGACCCAGCATCCCCCAATGCCCGAGACTGGCAGGAACAAATTACGACCACAACACGCTGCATAGCCGCTCTCGCGCCCGTGAACTCCAGCTCATCTCGATGCTACCAAGTCATCATTGACCTCTGTGGCAGGTTTCTGGACAGCAATGATATTGCGCTGCCCGTAGCCCCATCCGCGACAGCTCCGGCAGATTCCACAACGTCTCCTAGCTATGAGGACAATGCGGCACAACCTTCGGCTCCTGAGCCCATAGATGAGAGCCCTCAGACCCAGATTAACAGCGTTTTCTCTATGATGTGGCCTAATGTGCCTCCCTTAGAAGCGGCTGACGTCGTCATGGGCGACGACGCGTGGATGGAGTTCCTCAAGGGAGGGACAAGTGGTGATGGTGATGGGATGTGGTTCGGGAGCTAGCTAGTCTGGCTACCTCTACCAGAAAGCGGATTTCAGCAGGAAGACTTGCAAGCAAATAATCTGATGTGAGGAGATTCCGTGAATAATGTTGCGCTCTGTCTTCTATATGATCTCACTCAGGAATTTTCCTCCTGGTTCCTCAAAGCTATGATCATCCTCAACTCCTTTGTCGACATCAAGCCAGCTCTCATGACATGCCGCGAATCTTCTCCCTAAATTCTTTCGCTTCAGCAGATTGTGTCATTCAGATGACAGAGGACTTCTCTCTCTCTCGATGTCAATGTTCTCGTTTGAGGTTGCATCCCTTGCAACAATTTTCATAGCCCACTGAACTTCATCCCAAGTTGTCTCCCTGATCGACAAGAGCGTTGCGGAGCGACCGATTGCAGCCTTCTTGTCTTCTGATACCTTACAAAGACATCGACACAACTTGTTCCTTCCGTCGGGTCCTAGAAATACCTTGCTCTGATCATCCACAAGCCCACCACTCTTCCAGCCCCTGAATACGCTGCTGAGAAACGGCTGCCGATCGGTAAAAAGATCTCGCAGCTGTACATGTTGTACTCTAGCAACGTTCTCCCGGTTGGAGTAGACGACCCGCGCGAAAAGCTCAAAGAAAACATCCTGCTTCTCCCTGCTACACTTAGCTTGCGTATTGAGGAGCTCTCCAACTCTGAAACATGTGCGCATCATGATCATCGAAGAGAGTCCAACGACCACAGAGCGGTCTCTCATTTTGTCGGGGAAAGGGGGTCTGACTAAGGGCGCCGGCCTCGAATGCTCTTTCAGTGATTCTTTGGTCTTGCCTCTGATGCTCATTCTAGCCTCATGATCCGGAGAGGCGCCAGCCGCAGTTGCTGCGCATTTTGTCACAAGCTCCCAGTCGACATCATCATCAAGAAGATCAGGTTCAGTCAGATCGGCGTTTGAAGCTTCGCTCGTGTTCGTATCAGGCTCGGAAAACTGCAATTTGGAGTCGAAGCTTGAAGCTGATCTCGAATCGCAGTCCATCTTCTGTATGACGCTTGGCCGAGTGAAACCAGGAGGCTCGTGCCCAGTATCTTCTAGAAGCTGTGCCATCTCTTCTTCTTCAACGCCCTCAAGACCATAGTCATCCTCGACAGTGTCTTCACTATTGGATGACGATTGGGCAAGGTGATCGACATTGAGATCAGGAAATGGCCTACCAGAACCTTCGTCTACATTAGACGAGGTCTCAGATACGGCATTGTGGTATTCACCAGGTAGTTTCTCCATCGGGACAAACCCCTCGCCTCCAACGCTGTCCAGATCTACGTATTCCATCCATAAGTCTGGCGCATCGGGCTCTGCCACAGAAACACGCGTGGTTGTCTGCAATGACGAGGTCGGCGGTGTCTCGGGTATCTCAACAACGTCATCAGCTGGGCTTGGCGGGGTCTGTGGATGCTGTGAGATGTCTGCGGAAGGGTACTGCTGCCTTAGAGTTGTGTCGAAATTCGATGTAAATCTGGGCTCAAATAGCATCTGAGGTAGGCTCTCATGGTCGAAGATGTTCGGTCCTACCGAGGCATCGACAGCCAACCGTTTTAACGGAGAAGAAATTGCAACAGATGAGCTCGGCGTCAGGGGTCGTTTCGGAACGTTGTTGGACTCGAAAGCACTGGCGACATTTTGCATCGTGGAGGTCTAGTCTATGGTATGTTGTACTTCGAAGGTGTCAGTCATTTGCTAGGTAAGAAGACATGAGGAAATGCTACCAGACTACTTCTTCTGTGATTTACAAACGTCCTCAGCTTGAAGCTACGATGACATACAGAGAGCGGAAGTCTAAACAGTCGACGTTCTGGCGGGTGAAGGAAAATGGCAGTACTATGAGGGAGAAGAGCACGATGAAAGGGCAGAGGGGAAGGTTTCAAGCAGGCAATGGAAGTTCATGGGAAGATACATTTCTTCTAGAACGGAAGGCGGGCTCCTTCCTTCACAAGAGGTCCCTCATCAGGTACTTACCTGGGTAGGTACCTAAGGCCTTGTGTTCAGGCAGTAATGCGATGCAGGGCAAGAGCGAGTGCCCTTGATCAGGTGAAGGAGTTGGTGACGGGAAGGAGCAAGACCATCTGCGCCTCCCTTTTGTCATCTTATCCTCTTTCCTCAAAACTGATGGGAGGTAGCAAGAGGAAAGAATTGAAGCGTGGTCAAATCTGCATGCAGCTCCTGGGGCAATGTGTCCTTCCGGGAATAATTTAGAATCATGGCATTTACAACTGGAAACACCACCATACATAGCCAGGCAGTGCTCCTTGTCACTTCACGATGCCTTCACCGTGCTACTTGATCAGATGAGGGATTCATTTGATCGCGTCTTGGGCTCGCCTATACGAAGGCACCAATTCTTCTGAAGATCCGTCATCATATGCACCGACTCTCTTTCAGTAGCCTCGCCGCTCTTGTCGTTGTCATCAAAAGCCACAGGAGACCGGTAGTCTCGTCCTTCTACAATGACGAGCATCTTGCTCATCTGTCAAACAGCTCTCGCTCGGCATATGACCCCCGATGGCCGATGAATGCAACAGGATCCAGATCCAACTACCATAAGTTGTCTGGTGGCCGGTGCCTATTGAACTGAACCGCTGACACCTGCTTTACCCCGACCAGTCTACTCACTTGAACGAGATTGTTCTTCGCCAACTCAGGAACATAGACCATTGTTCACTTGAACATGTGCAGCTGGTCCAAACTCTCTGGCGAGTTTTTCGACATGTGCAGCTACAGCCACTGATGTCGATGCCGCCGCTGGCACGGCAACAGTGAGACACAGACAAGACAACGACGTTGAAGGGTCTTCTCCTCCACCGGGCTAACGACACACCCCGAGAAACCTCTTTTGATGAAGACTGGCAAAAGTATGATATGGACTACCATATCACGTATACATCACAAGTTATCCTGCCGAGAACAGACTGTGGCCCCCTCACCGAGAGGAGAGCGCGCGCCGAGGCAAGTCACGAAGCTATTCGCAACCCGTGGCTCGGTCCGCGCAACGGAGGCACGGGTCGGAAGTGACATCAACCCGCATTCCCGAGCAAGTCAGGAGCTCTACTCATTCAAAAGCAAAGAGACAGAGATCGTCGCTGCCATGCGGTCGATTATCTCGATTTTGTCAATCAGGTACGATGCCGCCGCCTTGGTTTCGATGAGAGTGCTCCCAAAGGGTCCCAAACAGACTACGTCAGAACGAGCATGTGCCCCATTTGGAAAGCGAACCCTCATGAAAGCCGCATGGGTCTCGCGCGCTATCGGGTTGGCGGCCTGTCTCAGCGCCACGAACCTGTCTCTCTGCTCAAGACTGAGACCAAGCAGCCGCGGCGCTGGGGGGGGATACCGGTAAACAACAGTAAAAAAGGGGGTAGAAAGATGCCTCGGCGGCTCGGACGTTGGCAAGCAATGGGACAACGTTTAGCGGATGGCGGGTAGACCGTCGGCGGTGATGTCAGTCCTTCAGTCAGGTGAGAGCGCAAAGGAGCGAAGAGTTCTGTGTGGTTGGCGCGTTTGAAAGTTAGCTCCCGCGGAAGTTGGGCCATGTGGTTCCGGGAAGCGCTGCGCTGGCGTCCAAGGTGTCAAGGGCTAATCAGTGCTAGCAAGCGTACAAGCGGAGGGGTGGGTGTGTGGGTGGTGTTGAAGGATGCCCGTGTAGGAGGATTCAAAGTGTAGAAACCGAAGGTCCGCACGGGTAGAGAGGATCGATTAGCCATTGCTGAAAATAACAATTGACTATCATCCGGTGTTTTCAAATAATATCATTAAAATAATAAATAAAACAATAATGAATTAATATTGTCAAAAGCTAAGATCTGGCGAGAGACATGGCAAAGCTGCGTTTCGCTCCCCAAGGTTCAATGCCGCACATGTCTGCCGGCTTATTAGTCACCTCAGGCACGGGATGAGATGACACATGCTGGCGCTCCTTCATCTATGGCTTGCCATGTGAGTGAGGCGCTTTCACTGAATATCCAAACGATGCGATACCGCAACGTCCGGGACTTCTCATTGCACGCCCAACCCGTATTTTTGACCACTGGCAGACTCTCAATGCCTCCCGGATCTGACGGAGCGGGGGATCAGCCACTCCCCCGTTACTTCGCATGGGGGGCTGGTGCAGTGCGACTCGAGGCGGTGCATCCTCCAAGGTCCCAAAATCGAGGTTACGAGATATGCCATGGAACCGTCCTTCGTCGTGAGCCCAGGCAGAAATCAGCTGCAGTCATCGATTGGAGATGCCGAGGATTGTATTTAGGGGGCAAGGTACTCGCGGGGAGGGCAAAGAAGCTACCTTTGGAATCAGACACCCGACTCGACTTGCCGTATTTGACTTTTGAATCTTTTGCCTTGGGGGACCTTTCTGATGTTGAGTCACGTCCTGCGAGTAAACGTCCAACAAAGGCTCCTTTTGGGAATCCTCGGGGGTGACCTCAAATACGGATTTCAACCAGTCAATCAAGGCCCTGATGAACACATGGACTGTCTTGCATGAGGTGCCATCAACAAGTGTCAATCCGTCATCCTGGTAGCGATGCGCCTGGAGAGACGGGGCAGAAACCCCGGTTGCTTTCTGTTTATTCTCATTTTTTGTTATTTTGTTTTTTCTCGGAACTTATGGGAAACTTTAGCGCTGCATTGGAGAGACTGTCTCGCTTGCGAAGCAGACCCTGGATACTTGTGGAAAAACAAGTTGCAAGTGAGAATGTCATTGACGGAGCCTTGACCACTACCTTGAGCCTGCCATCGCCAGCACAATCCAAAGACTGAAAGTGCCATCACCGTTCATGACAAGTATTGAAAACAACTCTTTGGAAGTTGCGAAAGCAATCATGGGCATGGAAGAGATAACATGAAAGGGAGTGTGGCAGTAGGGGCTGCAAACCAGACGCATCGTACATTTACCCAACTTCTTGGGATCAGATATGGACGCATCAGATCTGGTTGATGCAAGCAGAGACATATGACCGGGGGCTACTAAAATAAAAATAAATAAAAGAAATTAAGATAAATCATGAGAATAATGAAATAAAGATAAGCAGAGAATAAAAAGTTGAACAAAGATATTGATTATCTTCAGCCCAATGTCTGGCATATCACCAACTCACACACCCACACACACATACGGACAAACACACCACCATCTTGAACTGAGCCCCACCGTTTCCCCCAGATGACAGCAACGGGACCAACTACAGGCACAGCTGCTAAAATCGTAGCGCCGACGGTCCGCCATCGTAGCCTCACCCAAAAAAGAGTGCTAATCCGCCAGCGCGTCCGTCTTTCTTCCATCCCACCCTTTTCCCTTCCTCACCTTTCACCTTTGTTTCCTTCACACCCCCATACGCATCCCAGGTCTGGGCTCCCAACTCCCGTCCCCTCACCGCTCGGGAGGCTGACTTGGACTTGCATATACACCATGGTCACCAGGCCCTCTTCCTGATGCGCTGGCATCTCTCCCTTACTTCCCAGCGTTGCAGTCGCAGTCGCCAGGGCTCTGTTTACCATGTTCACCAGCAGCAACCTCAAGGAATCGTCATCCAAAAGGACCCTAGAGATAAACTCACCACCACCATTTGACGGAAAACAAGCCTTGACATCTTGTCGATGAATCGGCTGATGAAGAAAGGCCGCGCTGCCTATGGCCTCTGCTACCACCGAATTGGCCTCCCAAGCTTTCGCAGACGTCCCGGTCGTATCTCATCGACATCGAGATGAGGGAACAGCTGTCACATCCCACGCACGCAGCCTTCCCGAGGCGCCCCCGTACGTACCGCACCGCATCTAATTGAATACCTTGCCGTTCGGTACCAGACATCCTCAACACGATTGATGATGGTGGCGGCCGGGCTGCATTTCCGGTCGGGCACTACACCACCACCCGCTGCATCTCCCGGCGAATCCTCTCCCACGCCTTCCCGCCGCGCCGGTCTGCTGCCAGGACAAGGTGAGCACTGAGCACGGGGGGTTGACAAACACAAGATGCAGAGGATCAGATTCTTCCTTGACCGAGTTGCCAAATTTCGCAAAACGCCGTTGACAGCCTGTCAACCGTCGTCCGTCCCGTTATCACGGGTGCCCCCGTTTGGAGAACGGTCGCGTCTCGTCCACTCGCCCGTCTCCAACCTTTTAACGTTTCTCTACTCTGATTTCATGTCCCTTTGAAGCTCACCAAGCTTCTGCGCCTTACATGCAACCGCCGCATTGCTGCATCCGTCGCAGTTCCCCGGGCCAACTGGCATTCGATCTATGTTTCTCTCGATACGAAATGCACGCCCGCCCAAACCGCAGTGTTTCACGCCACAATTGCTGGTAGGCTGATGGCATCTTTGCGACCGGTTTCCCTTTCGCCCCGGCTAGACCGCCAGCCTACAGTTCTTGGGACGTCCATCTACGGTACGAAATACACCTCCCAAGCTTTCGAGATCAACTTCACCGTTGTGCTACACGCGAAGGTGGCGTCTGCCGTACCTCCCAGCAATGCCGGCCGAACGTGCAACTAATCCCCCTCTTTCCTCCCCTCCTTGAATGCAGTACCCGCGATCGTCTCAATTCTAGATGCGTCGTTTTGCCGCCCAAGGGCAGCAGTGATACGGAAGGCTGCTGATAGCCCCTCATGCCTGAACCCACCACGTTTCCTAGTT